TTACTGTTGAAAGACAGTCTTCAATAGCAGGAAAAGATGTTTTGGGACCATCAAAGAGAGTTTTGTAAAACAAACTCAGCCCTTAGAGCTTTATGTTTTGCTGTAGAAAAGAAACCCAAATACAAGCCAAGAGTTTTGTCCCTGCAGACAACATACAAGGACTGACGTTTCCTAGCGGTACAAAAAAAAAAAAAACCCTTAATGTTTTTCTTAAATAAAATTTAAGCATTTTCTTTAACAAGTAAAACAGATTAGGAGAGGAAGAAACACATTTTAAGAACGAAAAGGCTCAAAAGCGCTCCCAACTATTTAAAAGAAACATATTCTAACAGAAAAATATTTTGAGAGAAGCAGAAAAAAAGCCAGAGTAACAATAAAAAAAAAGAAAAAAATAACAAAAGAAATGAGAGAGAATCGATTTGCTCAGATAGTCGCTTTGTAAAAATACCGGTTTTAAACAGAAAAGTATTTTTTACAGGTAGGCACGCACGTTATTACTCTGTTTGGGCGGCTTAAGAACGGGCTTAAAATGAGGATTAATCCACTGCCAAGCCCTGCTGCCCTCCCCGAGTGCGACACCGAGCTCGCCGCTGCCCGCGCCGCGGTTCTGGGTCTATCCCGACATGCGGACGTGTCGCGATAGAGCCGCTCCTCCTCCGGCCAGCCGGACCGCCGAGCCCCGCGCCGGGCAGCGCCTCGTGCCGGGGGCCGGAGGTTAATTCTTATTAATTAAGCGGCAAAACCATCCGCAGCCCTGACTGGCACGGCGGGACGGTCGCCTGTATTTTTCCCCCGCAGCCCGGCAGCGGGCAGGGTCCCGCGGGGACCCGCGGCCGCCCCGCAGCCCGGCCGTGCCCGCGGGAGGCGGAGGCTCCGTCCCGGCCCCGCCGGGCAGAGCGGCCCCGCCGCGGGGGCGGGTTCGGGCTCCCGGGGCCGCCCCGACGGCTGCCGCCCCCCGCTCGGCCCGCAGCACCCACCTGCTTGGTCATGGAGTCGATGAGGCGCACGTAGAAATCCTGCTCCGTCCTGATCCCTGAAAGAAGGCAGAGCCCCCCGTGAGCAGCGGAGCGGGGCCGGCCGGCGGCAGCGCGCCGGGGCTCGCCCGAGGGCTCGGGCCTGCCGGGGCCGCCCGTGTGCCGGCAGCGAGCGGAGGGGAACCGGGGGAACCGGGGGAGCCGGGCGCTGCTGGGCTCTGCGGCCGCGGGGCCGACCCCGGGGGCTCCCAGCCCTTACCATTGCTGTAGAGCAGCTGCAGGCGGTAGTGGATCCCGTTGTTGGTCTTCTCGCTGTTGGCTTCCTGAAGTCAAAGGCGACACGGGAGGCCGGAGGGAAAAGGAAAACAGTATCAATGGAGCTTCTCCATCACTCGCACGCCGGGGGTCCCGGGGATTGGATGGGGCAGCTCTCAGCCCTGTCCCCTGCCCCGGGCGTAGCGAGGGAGCAGGGGACACCCTCTCCTCGGCTGCCCTCCGGGACAGCGGAAGACTGAGGCGCCCGGGAGGCTCCCGGGACGAGCCGGTGTCGCGGCCCCGAGGGAGCGGAGCGGGGAGGGCCCCGGAGAGGCGGCCGAGCCCCCACGGGGCGCCAGGGCACTCACCTTCTCCTTCTCCACGAAGCCCACGAAGGCGGTGCGCTCGATCTCCACGGGCTGCCCCTGCCGGTCGTACAGAGCCAGGACGAAGTGGAAAAAGTTGGACTTCCTCAGGTTGGAAGGCGGCTGCTTCTCGAAGTGAGCCCGGGCCAGACCCACTCCGCTGGGACCAGAAACACGCGGGTTAGCGGCAGCTCCGACGAGCCGGCCTCACGCACCCCCCAGCCGCCTCCCGGGCCCGTGCCTTCCCCCGCCGGGACCCGGCTGGGCCCTCCCGGGGCAGAGCATCCCTCCTCCCCCGAGCCGCCCCGGGGCTTCTCCCTCTGGGCACGGAGAAATACTCCAGCTCCGAACCCCGCGGAGCCCCGACCCCATCCCGTCCTGCGGCGAGCCCGAAGCCCCCAGCAGCCCCCCCAGCCCGGGCCCGGTACCCAGCAGCCCTCCCCGGGGGCCGTGCCCGCCCGCAGCCGGCCCTGCATGGCGGGGCAGCCGCGCTCAGAGCCGCCGGCGCGTTGCCCCGCGGAGCGGCATCGGTCCTGCCACTTCTCAAACTCGGCTCGGAGCTGTCACACCAGCGCCCATGTGCCTTATCTTGCGAGCCTTTCCTCCCGCGCCGGAGCGGTGGGTAAACACCCAGCCCAGGAGACAACTTCAAATATTTCAGGGTTGTCCCTGCAGAAACTTTCCCTTCCTTAGAGGGCTCCAAAGGGGGGGGTGCAGGGCGAGATGGGAGACACTGGGAGATGTCAACATTAAACTGATGCCGGATGATGCCGGCTCCAGGGCTCAAGCTGCGAATCCAGCATCAGGGTTTGGTTCGTGTTTGGGTTGTTTTTTCCCCAGGAAGAGGATGGGAAGAAGGAGAAATAAGAAAGAAAACGAGGCTGGGTGCAGCTTCGTCAAACCCATCTTATATTTGGAGGGATTTCTTTTTTAAAATCTGAGATAAGAGACAGTGGTTTTACAAAGGGACTTCAAATTAAATTTCTCCTGGAGTACGCTTTGTAAACTCCCTACTTATCGAAGGAGAAGAAGGGGAGCTGCTGATTCTGACGAGAATAGGAAAGCGAGGTAGAGAAATATATTTTGGATACATCCGTGCACAACCCGCTTTCCGGAGGAGGAAAGTGTCATTCGAAGATTTTAAGACTAAATCAGCAACAAACATAGTTTTGAAAACTCCTTCCTCCGAGCGAACACAAGGAGCCAGAGAGATGAAACCTACCTATCGGTACCTAGCGAAACTCTCTTTATTGTTGTTATCATTATTTAATAAAAAGTCATTCCTACGGGACAATAGGGATAAATATTTAACTGGCGACATCTACGCGAAACTCACTGCTGGTAGCAGAGCTCCAGAGCCGGGTTTTTGTTGGCGCGGGGGGAAAGGCGCTGCCGGCGGGAGCAGCGCGGCGGGCGGGGAGCGCCCCGGGGCGCGGAGCGGGGCGCGGGCGCGGAGCGGGCGCGGAGCCTGCCTACCTCTGAGCGGCCGTGCTGGCGTCCAGGACGCCGGCTCCCTGCATCCACGTCCGCACCGCGTTCATCCCCGCGCCGAGGGGCTCTTCCTTCATGCTGCTCCCACTCCGCTGGATGCTTTCCTGAATCCCAAACATGAATCAGAAACAACAGAGCAAATCTTCCTCCTTTATTCAAAAATTTTTAAAAGTGGTAAAATCGCCAGGCGGACTGTTATATGTGGGTTTTTTTCTTTCTTTCTCTCTTTTTTTTTTCTCTCTCTCTGCAGCTGATCGCTGGAATCAAAGCAAGTCGGAGAAAGCAAACACAGGCACGCACATTAAAAAAAAAAAAAAATCCAGAGGCAATCAGAGCCCGGTTTTGTTGCTGCTGTTTGCTGCGTGTGCAGTTTGTTTGGGTGCTTGGAGGGGCTGGCGGGGTGCTGGGGGCTGGTCGCAGCGCTCGCAAGCCGGAGGAGTACTTGAAGTCCCTTTTGTATGAAGACACCCCTCGGATGGCAGCAGGCAAAAAAAAAAAAAAAAAAATCTCAGATGGCAGTTTAAGAAACAATAGGACGAACGGGAGCTGCGGCAGGCTCTGCTACATCAAGTGTCATTTTCCAGTGACAAGAGAGGCAAGTCCCCCCCCTTCTCCCCTCTCTCTTTTCTTTCTTTCTTTTCTCCCTCTTTCTTCTCTCCTCTCCCAGCCGAAGCGCTCTCCGCTCCTCTCCTCTCTCCTCCCTCCTCCAGCCGCGCAGGAAGCGAGTTGCCGGAGCCGGGCGCACGCCGGGAAGGGAGCGAGAGGGGCGCACCCGCGGCGGCGGCGCGGACGGACGGCCGGAGGGAGACCCAGGGGCTCCCCGTGCCCCCTCCCTGTCCCGCAGCGCCGGGCGGACTCGCCGTCTCTCCCTATGGGAGCCACTTTGACTGTCCCCGCCGCCGAACACGAGCCCCGCAGCCCCGGCGGGCGGGGGGCGGGGCCGCCGCGGGCACGCCCCCTCATTTGCATCGCGTCACCGCCCCGCCTCCGCTCCGCCGCCGCCAATGGGAGCCGGCGCAGCGGCGCCGAGGGGGCGGGGTCACGCCTCCTCATTAGCATAGCCCCGCCCCGGCGCGGCCGGCCGGGGGAAAGTTGCCCCGGGGCGGCGGGGCGGGCCCGGGGCGGCGGGGCGGGCCCGGGGCGGCGCGGCCGCGCCTTTGTTCGGAGCGCCGCGGGCAGCCGGGCACGGCCCCGCGGGGCTGCCCGGCCCCGCACCGGCCCGCCGCCGCCCGGGGACGGCCCTCGGCACCGCCCGCACGGCCCGCGGCCCGCACCGCTGAGCGCGGGGGTGGCCGAGCCCTCCCCGCTGCCCCCGGGATCCGCCGGCAGCGCCCGGCTGCCCACCGTGCGCAAAGCTGGGGATGCCCCGTGCCCGGTGCCCGAGCCCGGGATTGTCCCTCGCTGGAAGCGCGGGTGGGGCATCCCCCGCCCGGGCCGGCTCCTGCCCCGCTCCCGGCAGCGTGCGCTGCTTTGCGGCACAAGTACGCGATTTCCGAACAGGACAGCTCGCCGTGGAAGTTCTTTTTTCTTTTATTTTATTTTTTTTCTGTTTGGGTTTTTTTTTTTTTTTTCTGCTAAGAAGTCCGATTTTTGTTTTCTCAGGGAAAATAATAATTCTAATAAAACCAGTTCCTGTCCTCGCTAGGGAAGAGCCGGGCCGGTTGCGGCGCGGCCGAGCGGGCGCAGTCCCGCGTCTCTCCGCTGTCCCCGCATCACCCTCCATCCTTCCCCTGCCCGAGTCGCTCGGTGCTCGAGCCGCTCCCGTCTCGTCTCTCGCACGGGCTCTTGCCGCGGAAGGAGCTCTCTGTGCCGAGGGTCTGGGTTATGCCTCCCCAAACACAGGCTTGCCCATCTTTGCACATATAATGGAACAACACCCTGCGCATCCCGGCGCGCCGGGCTCCTCGCCCTCTCCGCGGCGATGTCACAGCGCGGAGGGCAAGCTCTGCAGTGTCTGGGCTATCTGTGAATTGCTGCCGTGTCCCTTCATGTCCCTCTCCCCGATCAGAGGGGCGGGAGGTGCTGCTCAGGGGGTGCAAGGGCGGGCGGCTGCTGTCCGCTCCTTCCAGGGCTGCAGAGGGGCAGCGGAGCCCCCCGGGCTGCATCCCCCAGCCGGGAGGCAGCTAAGGGCCTGGAGAGCAGCCAGAGCCGTCTGTCAGCACCACTCTGCCGCTCCAGAGGCACCCCACGGCAGCCCAACTACACAGCACCCTCTCCCAACCACCTGTACATCACTTTGTGTGGCACAGCCGCCTGGGACACAGCTAAGCCTCGGGAAGAGAGCTCGGACTGCGAAGCGGGCACAGAGCCCGCTGCCAGAGCCTCGCTGGCGCTGAGAAACTGCCCCCGATCCTTGGCTTCAGGCGAGTCCACACACAAAACATCCACATCGCCAGCATTCTGCATCCTCGCACAGGAACTGTCACAGACAGCAAGTTTTCACATTCCCTGAAGATGCCATTTGAATCTTGACACGGTGCTAGCGTGTCATATCTCAGGGAGATGTGGAAGAACACGGACACACGGCCACACATGAATATTTACGCCGTAGGTACGGCATAGGAGCAGTTTGGCTCCTGCAGAGCTCGGGCTCATTGGGCTTCCTCCGGCTGCTGCTGTATCAGTTGTATCATATCCAGCCTAAATGCCTCCGTGGTGAGATACATTCTGCAATTAAAAGCTATTTGCACCTGCACTGATTGCTCCTTTCCCAGGGCAGGGATCTGCCCAGGGAGGAATAATGCATTTGAATCAATATACTGAGCAGTTGGCAGATTTCGTCCTTCAAATCTGTTCAGGGGATCAGGGACCGTTTCCATGCCTTTTCCAGGATGCTAAAGGGAAAAGCATCCCAGCTGCAGTCTCCACCGGGCAGGGACAGCCAGCCACGGCACTAACAGTGACAGGTTCTCCACTCTTTTCCTCCTCACACGAGACTTGTGCCTCTGTGCCCAGCACACAGGGAGCTCCAGCTGAAGGCTGGTGGGGAGATGCCCCACCTGGGGCTTACGGGCAGTCGCAAAGCAAATAAATAAATTGCTATAAGGATGAAAGAGTTAAACGCTGGCTCGACCCTCACAGGAGGAGTGTGAAAGAAAAGCAGAAAGGAAACAGGGTGAGAGTGAGAAAGTCAGGACTTTGGAAAAAAAAAAGGAAAAAAAAAAAAAAAAGGAAGAGAGCTGGCAGCAGGCAAGGAGACTTCTGTGCTCCATCCACCCTGCAGAGGCCAACCCTGGAGCGCTGGGGCTTTGATTTTAAAGAATTCCTAGTTGCCTTTAGCATTCCCTTTCTGCCCCTTGCCTGGTTCTGCTCTCTGGACCAGCACCACCCCACTGGGACTGCAGCAGCACACAGGTCCCTGCCAGGCCTGCTGTGAGGCTGGAGCGTATTCCTGTGGGAAGCTGGGTCCATCCTTCCCTCAGTATGGCAAACAGAGCTGCACAGCCTGCCACAGGGGAGTTCTCAGGGCTGGGACTCAGCTCTTCCCTCTTCTGCTGCAGGAGCAAACTGGGGCACGCTGCAGTGAGGGGTCCCTGCAAAGCCCGAGTTAAATGCTCCCTCCATTCCACACAGAATAAAACACACACAGACCTGCAGCTGTGATTTGCTCCCAGAGGTGAGGAAGCTCCCAAAGCGAGCAAGAGCTGCAGGGTTGAGCCGTGGATTTTGGCCAGCAGCACAAAGCCAGGAGCTGAGACTTTGCAGCACAGGCAGCTCACAAACAGCACTGGGACGTGGCCACAGCGTTCCTGGCCATGACAGATAGCAGGGATGGAAGCACAGGAGGGAAAGGCTGGCCCTGGCTTGCTCATCCTATGTAGGAAAACACAGGGTTCCTGGGGAACAAGTGGTTTTGAGGCCTTTGAACAAGGGGGCCGTGGAAGAAGACCTCACTCTGGAGGATAAATGTAACATCTGTGAGGGAGCAGACAGAGGTCCCAGAGCACAGGAGTCTCTCTTATTTAGGGGAAGGCCTCTCCCCTCTCTTGACACCATTTCCAAGTGGGCCCAAGGCCCCTCTCTCCTCTGACCTGGAGTTTATCCAGAACAACTCCCTCCTCCTGCCTCCAGTCCCTCTTCTCCCACCCTGCGGCTCTCAGCACCGCGGGGATGGTCAGGCCTTGCTTCCCTCTGCCCAGACCCCAAGGGAGGGAAGGAGTAGCTGGAAGTGGGGATTTCTGAGAGAAAAGCCTTCTGGTCCCTCATCCCTGACCTTTGCAGCTGGATGAGGCCACCCCCAAAGGGACCACGCTCCTTCCTGCCCTTCTCAGGAGAAGGCAGAGGAACAACTGGCCTGACCAGTGACAATGGGGAAAGGGAAAGGCAGCCTCTCCTCTCAAGGTGGGGCTGAAAGCAGAGCACTCAGGTGCTGAGCTTGTGCCTGCACTTTTCCAAGGGTTTGGAAACAATTCACTCATGTTGTCCCCTGTGAAAATGATTTCCATAAGTATTTTCCTTACGGGCTCCTGTGTCAATCCAAAGACTTACAGATAAATCCAGTGTCTGCCTTGGCAGGTGATGGCACTATTCACCTACTTGGGGTGCTTTATTCTTCCTACTTGGCTAGCTCCCGGGAGAAGAGGAGAAAAGGCTCAGAGAACTGGGAACTGGGATAAAATACTCTGAGTAGAATAATCCTGTTTAGGAGAGAGCCTGGATGCCTCTGGGACCAGCAGAGGACCTGTCCACAACGTGATGGTGATAACATCCCACATTCACCCTGCTACAAAGAAGAAGCAGTAGCAGGTGAGCCAGATGGGAAGGTTTCATCGAGGAACCTTCCTCCTGCTGACTCCCTTGGGGGACTCCCTGGCTAGGATGGGGTGTCGGGCACTCCCCAGGTCGCGGTTCAGTCCTGCGGGTGGGAAGCAGCGAGAGCTGAGCGGAGCAATTGCTTCAAGGGCCGGGGAAAGGGGGAGCCCCCTCGGGGTGCCTGAGGGCGGAGGATGCCGGGCAGCAGCGAGAGGCTGGCGGAGCGAGCGCCCCAGAGGGAGGACGGGAGGATGCACCCCCCAAACTCAGCGCTCCCCATCACTACCCGGGACAGGAGCCCCCCATGGCAACTCCTCAGGGGTGAGCGGAGCTCTGAAATTACATGGGGTCCGTCCCCCCATGGGGCTGCACGGAGGGGAGGCACAGGGAGGAAAGCCCAGCTGCGCTCCCAGGGCCCGGGGCGGGGATCGGG